CCTTGTCACTTATATTTTAATTATTTTGTCACATATTGTAGGCTAGGGGTTAATGAAACAAAGCTTTTAAAACTATAACTTAGCATTTATTGATTTTACGCAAAATTAATTCCTCGTCTCCAATGTCGCAGTTATAAAAATAAAAGTAAAGCAAAATACCATTTATTGATTTTACGCAGAATTAATTCCTCGTCTCCAATGTCGCAGTTATAAAAATAAAAGTAAAGCAAAATTTTCTTCTTAGAATTTCGGTCGATCGTGTTAAATCAAAATAAATCGTGTAGAAAGAGAATTAAATTTTTTTCCTAATTCGTGTTAAATGAAAATCGTGTAAAAACAGAATTGGGTGTAATTAATCCTTTGCAATAAATACGCTAATAAAACCAAGTAACTGATCGAGAAGTAAGCCTAAGTAAAATTCGCATAAATTTTAAAAATATTTATAATGCTATACCAAACGAAGTTGATGCATAACGATAAATTAAAATTGAATACTATTTCAATGCGTAAGTTTCCAAAATTAAATCGCAGTGCACGTTTAAATACGTAATTCACGGATAATGGCTCTAGACTACACCAGAGAAAATGGCGCGTAGGCACCGGCACGCGTGATTTTCTCCCTAGCAGTTTCTCGATCCTCGGCAATGCGGAAGATAATGGAGTCGGAAAAGCATGGCGACGAAATAAGAAAATAAGAAACGGGAAATAAGAAAATTTAACCAGGAAACGTTGATCGCGGAGTGCACGGGATCGTTGATGGCGCGTAACTGCGATGCACTTAAGTAGTTTCATTTCGCGGGAGTTGTTCGATCGAAGGGTGAGAGAGGATTGATCGAAGTTTGTATTCATAACCCCGGATCTTCGTATAACGCACCACTCAACGACGATACATCACACTGAATGAAAAAGAGACTGAGGCAGCGATAGAAGGGGATGAAAAGCGCGAGGCAGGAAAGGGAGAAGAGAGAGAAGCCAGTGGTTGGATAGCCACTATCAGAGAGTCGCTATGATTAATGATCGAGTACAATGCTATTTTCATTAAACTCATTTCACTGCAGCCCGTATATAACACGGGCATGGCCGGGGCTATGGTCTCGGCCATATGAGCGCCCTTCGCTTCTTTTTCACCTTGCCGTTAGGTTCCCTTGATTATGACGTCTCTATGATCGTCGACCTTCACGGTCCCGAATGCCATCCGAGTGAATTCAGCCATTGTTACCCGGCGTCGTTCTCCATCCTTTCATTATCGACCAGAAAGCAGCGTTCTGACCCGAACTCCACCGCGATCACCAAATTTCAAAATGACTTCATCCCACTGATCCGACTCAACTTTTGTCCCTCTCGACAATCCTCTCGCCCCTTTTCCTTTCGCATAACACGTCGCGTTTGTGAGACTCGAAATTGCTAACCGTGTTAACCCTCTATGGACCGAATATATATTTTTCTTCGCTGTAAGAATTGTACGTAACATAAAATCGACAAATATCAACCAATAAATTCGAAATTGACAATTTTATTAGAACGAATTCATATTGGAAGTTTGAATTAACAACGGTTGTACTATTGTGCCAAGATAATGTGCAATAGATAGACAAGATAATTTTCCACGCCATCTTGTGGAGAAAAGGTCAAGGGGGCCATAGAGGACCTAACCTATCGTGATCGAATAACCGGTAAATGAAAAAGAATTCGAATTTTTAAAAATGGACCCACGGGAGGTATTGTAAAAATAATTGTAAATATATCGAAAGAAAAATCGCGAACTGGAGTGATGAAGACGATAACGTTGAATGTAGTATTTAATGAAATACCCGTACATTAGCATGTAACTTGAAAGTTACACGGGCCCATAGAGGGTTAAAATTCCACGTGTTTCCGCGTGGTTGAAACGAGAATCGCGACTAATCGATATGTTCAGGCGAATAGATAGATAGTGCAAAATTTCTTTCTCTTGTAATTTATTATTGGCAGACTGTGTGGAAATTTCTATCATATACAGGTAGCCCTCCGACAACACGGTGTCCTATAATACGATTCATAAATTACGGGAGCCCTCCTACAACACGGCATCCTATAACACGGTTTCGCTCTAACAATAAGAAAATTGCAAAAACCTTTGTACAGCACTGTACTTCTACATGAGCAGTGACGACGAAGAAATTTATTAAATTAAAGTTGCGTTAAATTAAAATAATATTTTTGTTTTTTTGCTTTGTGTTGTACATACATTTATATTTTTAATAAAAATTAAGTTGTTTATGTAGAATTAACAAAATTTGTTTTTAGTAAGTTTTCGGAACGTAACCTCACTTTTTGTATTGCGTCTGGGTCACATACAACACGGTTTCACACAACACGGCATTTTCTAGGAACCTATCTACCGTGTTATAGGAGGGTTACTTGTAAATGGTTTGAATTATGGTTGAAGTGCAATGGGTTAATGAAAGCTTTGATTTTGACTGTTTTTGACTGCACTTTGAGTGCCACGCACTGTTTATATGGAACGTTCAAGGCGCCATGATAAAATTTCCATTATTCTTAGGATATAATGAGGAATTATCAAACAATATGGGAAAAACATAAAAATAGTGGAAATTGTTAATGTTTTCTATTCAAAGTTCTTTATTTATTTATGTTGTTCAAATTTTTAAAGAATGGTTAGAATGAAACAAATATAAATGTAGGGATATCTTTCATTAGCAAATATAAGGAATAAGAGATGTTGGTTTATTTTAACCCTTTGCACTCTTTTGGCTAAAGATGAGTAGGAGTTCAAAGATTTTCTGCTATAAAGCTGGCGATATTTCCTTCAGTAATAAATAAGAAATCGTATAATAATTAAGACGTAGAATTATTTTACACACCGTTACATTATCCTAAATTTGACATATTAATTAATATCGATCTTCGGAATTTTATCTAATGGTGACTGACGGTCACCTCTCTAGTGCAAAGGGTTAATATATATTAAAAAGAGGCTTAGAAGGCTTACATCTGTTTCTATTACGTGATTCTTGAACTTGACAATTCTTCCGCGCGTCAGTAGCATGAATTTTTGTCAATGGAGTGGAAGCGTTCTCGACATCTTCTCTATATTTACTTCTTAGCTCTTCGGCCAATTGGAAAATAAAATCTTTTCTCGAAATATTTACTCGAGTGGTCTCTTTATATAGAACCGAAGCATTGGTAGCTGCTAAATCTAAAATGTTATAGAAAACTTGTAGAGGCCATCTGCGAGAGCCTGCTTTAACGCTGTATTTTCGGGCCACTTGGTCAAGTATATCCACGCCATACTTGGTGCTATTATAAAATGTTACTGTTTCCGGAATAAGTTTTTTATTTTTTCCAATTATTATATTTTTACGTTTGGAACTTAGTAGTAAAACTTTTTTATTAAGCTTGCTTTTATAAATGGTTGCAAAAGTTGCCCAGGCCTGATGCAAGCTATAAATTTCACGTGTTATGCGATTAACTGTTAAATCATTTTACGAGTCAAATTGGCTCACAACCGTAAAAATAGGTATACCACGTTCGATGATGCGAAATGAAGGGGTCTGCGGGAAGAGGAATCAACATTTACATATATTTCATTGTGTAACTATAAACCAACGTATGTTTTTAAAAAATGATATTTAAGTTTTATATATAGTTGTTATTATCTAGTGTTAATACTTGGACTACCACGTTGGTCATATACGACCGGCCACTGTTTCTCTCATAACGCCACTGTGGTCATTAATGACCGGAGCGCTTGAGCTACTTACGATTGTAAAAATTGAATGAAAATTGACGGTTAGTGCATTTTGAATATAACCGCTAATTAGAAGATACTTTGAAATAAAGAGTGCCCCACTGAACAATTAAAAATTTTTATTAGAACATCTGTAGGAACTATGGGAAAGAAAAGGGGAAAAACTAAACTCGCTTGGTTTGAGCTAAGAGAATATATATTTTTGTATAAAGCGATGTGGCGGCGAGGCCTGGCAAGGAACTGAACTGTCGCGTTCCTAACGTCGCTGAAAAAGGCAAAGATTGAAAACAAATGCCGGTGCAGATCTCCGCCAGGCCGATGCCACCCCAGGCTACACACTCATCGCCGTTGCATTTCAACAACATCCATCAGAAAAATATTAGAACGAATCTTGCATCTAGCAGTGCACTCTCGTGACGTCCTGGGGGAAACACGTGATTTCGGCGTGGCAGACAAAGGGTTAATTAGCAATTGAAGCTGTCAAAAACGTCTTTACACCTGGAAATATTGCAATAGCTGCATGTGCATAGGTTTATATTTCGTCTTATTTACGTAAAACAGTTGGTAATACCTTCGACAAATATTATAAACGTATTCGCTCGTGTTGGCAACGTTCAACATGCCAGTACAGGTTTATCGATTGTTGCAAGCGGAAGGTTTATCGCGACAATCTTTTTTCCTGGTTTTATGTGAAAAATCGTGAAAGTAAGTTAATTTTTATAAAAATTAGTTCTATACCAATTTCGTTTCATTTAAAACGCAATAAAATTTCTATGCTACATGGGTCTATTTTATTATCTGTAATCCTGTGCCTTAAAGAGTTAATAGGTAGCTGCGATACGTTCAGACAAAAGTGAATATATTTTAAACGATTTTATGACAATCGATATGCTGTAATCTAGCGCGATGGCTTGTGTTCGCTTTTGTCGATAACGTCACGATGTTATCGATGTTTACCGATTGCATTATCGATAGTCACATTTCTAGTTGAAACGCGTTGATGTCGATCGCTTTAATTTGTTATTCGGTAAGTTATCTCGGTTTGTTTCACGACTTTGTAACGCGAAATAATTGCCAATTGCGGTCTGTTGAAGGTTGGGAAGCTGGTACGAGTATTCATAGTTTGGTTGGATGTCGTAGTATAACGAATTGTCACGATAGGTTACGTTCGTGAACGTGCTGGATTTTATTGGTTGAACGGGATGTGTATTTGACGGATGGGAACATTTCCTGGGTGTTTCATTTCCAGAAAGATACGAAGGAATATGACGATCACCAAGATGATCCATGGACAGGTCTTCCTTATACCGTCGATCTCGAAACCGGTAAGTGCAAAAATCAGATTCATCAATTTAATAAGATTTAAAGGAATCGCCATTGTAGTAAATTACGTATCGAAAATTTGAAAATAATCGGATATTGCTACATTAGTAAAATTTCGTATCCTATAAACGCGATATAATTTGGAAAATTGATTAGGTATTAATACATGATCAGAAATTCGCGAAAAATGCGATCAGAGCTGTAACGTTAATTTAAAGGTCAACCTTGAAAAAAAATTGAAATATTGTCGCTTATAATATGGTGGATTTAGCGTTAATATTGATTATTAAAAGTGGAAAATATTAGAAACATTTCAACGTTACAATTTTTGAGCTGTGACGTGTGAAAATGATTATAATTACGATGAATATTAATTTTGCTAATAGCAGCCAAGCACATATGCTAATTACAGTAATCGAAAATTATAAGCCTGTTATTTAAACGTGTTTGCTAGTTCTAGTATTAAAAGATTACGAACCCAAAATAGTTAAAATTTCATTCTCTCCTGCAGAAGTTTTTGAAATACAGAATAAAACTCGCGTCAAATTTTTATTAGTAAATTTTTTCACAAAAAGGAAAAATCGCTTAAATATCAAGGTAATTAAAGAATTCGTCAAAAAGCAAGAAGAAAACTGTAAGATTACCAAGCACGTCGATTAAAATTTCATTCTCTTCCAGAAGATTCAGAAATATAAAATAAAATTCGCGTTAAATTTTTATTAGTAGGTAAATTTCCCTACGAAATAAATATTGGTAAAATATTGCGCCAATCGAGAAATTCGTTAACAAAAAAATTTAAAAAAAGGGAGAAAATTACCAATCATATTGATCAAAATTTCATTTTTTTCTGAAATTTTTGAAATACAAAATACCTAATGGGTACTCGCGTCAAATTTTTATTATTAAATTTCTTTACAAAAGGAAAAATATCGCGATATTTAAAAAATTCGTCGAAAAGCAAAAAGAAAAGTGTGAGACTACCAAGCACGTCGATTAAAATTTCGTTCTCTGCCGGAAGATTCAAAAATACGAAATAAAACTCGTGTCAAATTTTTATTAGTAGGTAAATTTCCCTAGGAAAGAAATTTTTATAAAATATCGCAATCAATCGAAGAATTCGTCAACAAGAAGAGAAGAAAAAACGGAAAAACTCTCAAGCCTATTTCAAATTTTTATCGAAAATTTTTAAAACACAAAATACTTAACATCTACTCGCGTCAATCATTTATTAATAAATTTCTCGACAAAAGAAAATTTCCACGAAATATCGCGACTATCGACGAATTCATTGAACAAAAAACGAAAAAAAATAAATAAAAAAGGAAAAACTGTAGAAAAATTGTAGAAAAATTGTAGAAAAACTAGCAATCACGGTATTGTACAGCAGTGTTCGTAATTTCGATTATATAATACGTTTATGCACCGCTTTGAACGCTCGGTTTCCGTATCAGTCTGTAATTAAAGAGTCAATCAAACATGATGGACACCGTCCGCATAGCCTAGACGTTCGGACCTGTCTGCAAAAAGCAGGGACAGTTATGTACGACTGGCTCGCGTTGCTCCTTTTATTCGAAGCGTGTCAAATTAACGCTGCAATTTGTAGAAGCCAATTTGAACGTTCACTGCAGTTAGGGCCGCGCCTGACCGCGCCTTCCGCGAATCTAATTACCATAAACGTGTTGGTCAAATGCGCTCGTCGATCATTTTCTTGGCCACAACGTTTTCCCGTCGATCGGACGTTGATTGCTAATTCGGTAGCAGCCGTGGCAAACGGATATTTAGAAAATGGTAAAAATCGTAAAAATCGTAAAAATCGTAAAAATCATAACGCCGTGAACAGCATGAACGGTACATAACAGCGACAATGTGGTAATTATCTTAAATGATATAAGTCCGTTGATGGATCAAGATAAATAGTCGTTTTGCCACTATGTATGAATCCTGCTAATAATTTTATTTCTAACAAGAAATTTAATATCGCGTGTTTTTATATCGATACATACGCGATATCGAGCGATTACAGAATCTGTGTTTAGACGAATAGCTAATAGAATAAATAGAATTTCTATTTACCGCTGAAAGGTAAGTAAGAAGTAATTAATGGCAAGTCGTTAATTATATATCAAATTTTTCTTCTTTCGTATGTATACTGAGTATTTTAGAAATAAGATGTTAGGAATCAAATTGTTTTGGAAAAATCGGTAAGAAATTCTCGATTCTTTTTATTATGGATTTAGTTCCTCGATATCTAAGTGCTCTACATGATGGCGAATAATATGGTAATATTATGGAATAATGATCGAAATTACAAAAATTAAGGGATGAACTTAGCGGATAAGGTAAAATCTTATTAACCCTTTGCACTCGGCGAATTTTTCGTTACAGAAAAATAGTAATTCGAAGACTTTCTACCATAAAGTTGATATTTTTAAAACGGTAAATAAGAAATCGTATGCAAATTAAGACGTAGAATTATTTTATTTCGACATCCCACGCGTCGTTGAGTAATTTTAAGTTTGATATATTAATTAACATCGATCTTTCGCTTCTGATTAAATGGCGACTGAGGGTCACCTCTCGAGTGCAAAGGGTTAATATGGGATAAAGGAAATTTTACAGAAAATCCAAATATAGAATAACCTATAATCAGTGTTTCAAATAGGGATTAATTTTTCTGCAATTTTGAAATAACTTTAAAGAAACCTACAAAAAGATAAAGAAAATTCGACTTTGACGAAGAATGAAAAATTAAAATTAAAATTCTTAATTCTTAAAAATTAATTTTAAAAATTAAAATTCTTATTGAAAATTTGTTGGCAGTAATATCAAATATGAGCTTTTAACCCTTTGCACTCGACGATTCTTTGGCCAAAGAAGGATTTCAAAGGAGTTCAAAGATTTTCTGTTACAAAGCTGACGATATTTTTCTGAGCAGTGAATAAGAAATCGTATGATAATTAACACGTAAAATTATTTGATTTCGATATTGACATATTTATGAATATTGAGCTTCGAAATTTTATCAAATGGCGACTGAAGGGTGCCTCTCGAGCGCAAAGGGTTAAAATCCTAACACAATGATTCTCAATCTGTATTTCACATAGATATTAATACAATAATATTCCAAGTAAACATCAAATTTTTTAATTATGCACAATGTAATATATTGCAATAAATAAATGTTACCTACAAAATGACACCTGATTCGATGACACATCGGTTAAATAATACAGCAGGAAAGATGTTGAGAACCACTGCCCTAGAACATATCAAATTTAATTTAATTTAAAAACTAGCTACTCTTTTCTATTCATTATTTACATTTCTTCTCCAATGCTGAACCTAAATAAAATACATAATTCAACTCTTTTTCGTTTATAAAATAGCGATATCGATTGTATAAGGAGCTTATATAGTCGATATCACGTAAATTTCAAAAATAGTATGAAACTAGAAAAGTATTTCTAATACAAATTGCGATAATTGGGAAAGGACTTTGCCCGGAAAATCCCTTCTTCCAAAGGGAAATTCCAAAGAAAATCGCAATTCTAAAAAGTCCTAATTTATTTCACAATTAGGTTAGAAACCAATAAATAGGATTTACGCATTTATTACAGAAAAAGAAACGAATCTTGTCTCCAAAGAGATTATATTTTAACTGATATTCTTCCAAGTTTTTCCTTGCACCCATAGAATTACTATTTAAATAATCACATACCATCTACTATAAAGACCCAGATAGATAACCAATCCTGTTATCATCATTGATTATCAAAATTATGATCACCATGCAATCCGAAGAAATTACATTTCGTCCCATTTTACCTGTCTTTATAACCCTATAATGTGATATTCTCTGAAAAAGAATAGGACGTCTTGTACATACAATGTGCGACAAAATAGTAGCACATCCTGTAGTTTTCAATGTTTCTTGAAAATAATTCAAGATATGCAAATGTTACTTACATACTCACGTACTGTACCTGGTCCTTAGTAATGCAGCAAAATACTGATTACAATTTAAATTTATTTCTACAAACTTTACTCGTTTATGTGAAAAATGACTGCGACAAAATGATAACGCAGGTAGCAAAAAGAGAGATCAACGAAATTTTGTTTTCTGAAAGTAAAAAGGCTTCTTATATATTTTTATGCGATGAATCCGAATCTGGAAGCTAGAATTGCCCGCCATCTTGGGTTCACGAAATAAATAAATAAATGATATCGAGATTCTTGCTAATTTTATAAAAATATTCTGAAGATAGTAATTCTTCTAAAATCTTTATCAACTATTTTGCATAGTACCAACCTTCCTTGTAAAATAAAATTTTATTTATAGTCAAACGATTTCTTTTTTGTCGAGATACATGGTTTTGAAGTTACTCGGAAGACACTGAAAATTATAGCGTGTGACATTTTGTAGCGACATTTTATCTCGTACCGTAGTCTCGAATTTGGTCTGCACGATTGTTGCATAATCCACGGGGCGAGGAACGGAGGCCGCGTCGCGACGGTGAAAATTCGCGGAGACACACAGCGAATGCTCGAATGCTGGAATGGACGTAGGGAAGGAAGGAAAGAATGCGGTGAATAGGGTTAGGTTAGGCGTTTGGTCGGCTGGCGGGATACACTTTGGCCAGGTACGCGAGCGGCGAACGCGGGATTTCAGAGAGAGGCCAGGTTCCAGTTCGTAAGGTCTCGGCGGCGAGTCGGGGAGTGGCTAGAGGAACGCCCTCGCTGCCTGCCTCCCCCCACCCTGCCGCCGCTCCCCACCACGCCGCCCGGCCCTTCGCGCCCGTCGAGTTCCCCTTCTCTGCATTTAATTACTTTGCGTCGCGGCGACCAGAGAGTGCGCCTAGCCCACCGCGATCCACTCTACGTCGTGTTTCGTATCGACGCTTGACGAAGGTTCGCTCGTTAAAACCTTTTTAAAATGTCGGCGTATCCGCGAACCTCGTTCTTTATTTCTTTCCTCCTTTTTCCCCGGCCCCGCTTTTTTTCC